TTTCCGAAGTCAGTTGAACATGTATAAAAAGTCCGAGCAATCAAATTTAATGAGTTTCATAGGTGCCCCTAAAAAAGTTTTCTGCTAAAGGTAAAAGATATAATAATTTGTATATAATGTGTAGAAAATTTCTATTATTTGTTCATTTGACCAACAACATATTTTAATTATTTATGTCTTCAAACAATTTTATTATATTGGCGGTAAATTTCGTTTTGTTCCGTTTCAAAAGGTCTCCAAAATGCCATGTTGTAATAATATTATTTCTGCTTTTCGCAATTGTAATATAAATGATTAATAGAAGGTGCATATAAAAAGTAAAAATTACCTAAATCACTGCTGAGCAATTTGTCAACCACTTGTCAAAAGCTGAGATTTATTGCCTAGTACCAATCCAGTTGTATTAGATTTCTTTGTCCGCGCTCACATTCTTCAAATGGGCGTATTCATTTCTACCACGTCCACGTGTAATTCGACCAGACCTGTATATGGGTATGGTTAAATAAATATGGGAACAAGTTTTTCAAATATTTCAATGCCCAGTTGCTGCGTCAACGACCGAACCTGGTACATACCGTCAACGACTTAGTTCTTCAATTGATATCGGAAAGACTATACTTATCAGTCCAGTGGTGGCGTAAACAAGAATTAAAGTGCAGTTTAAAAAACTAATTTAAAATTGGTTTTCTTTTTGTATATAATTATTTACATTTTAACAAGGTAAAAAATACCTAACTTTGTTATTGCTTCTACATTCTAGCATTTTAGGTCACGTATAATGGCCATTTGAAAGATATCTACAACAAAATAATAAGTAAATCATGTTATTAGTTTATTGACGACACAAAACGCACGACAGTAAATACTCTAATTGCTACATTTCCTTTTTTGCAAAGTCGACCGCACTTTCCTGTTTGTAAAGACTACTGGTCATGGTAATTTTTTGTATTTCTTTTGGCGGAGACGTGCAAGTCACTAATGACTGTAATTGCTACGTGTTAATTATATATTAGATCTAAAAATGTCACGAACGGAAATCTAACCTACTGCACTAATTGCTGATTAAGATTTTATTTACTTTAAGACATTACCACGCCTTTGAAGTACTTCATCGACGTTTGCATGATGCACAATTTCTCTTTGACCTCGCTGCATTTGTCTTTGGTCAAATGTAATTTTTTAACATTTCATACAAGGAAGTTTTTAGGAATGCTAAATATACAGGATGTTATAAATTCGCTTCTCACTACAGGAATCTTGGAAAAGGCAAGAGATACGAAAATGGGGGCACAGTTGCATAATCAAGTTACCAACATAATGCCTCTAAAAAATCAATGCTAACATTTTTGAAATATGTATTTGAAAAAAACCGAAATTTTCGAAATCCGTTTTTGTTTCATATCAACCTTGTTTGAGGTGATAGGTATTGAAAAAAGAAGAACACTTTCTCATGACAACTTTTTGTCGTCTATCGAATGGCATAATCAATTTAATGGCATAATCAATTTTTATATGTAACGTTTCGTTTCTCCAGGACCATCATCAACTTCATTTTTTTAAATACAACCCCGGAAATTTTATTATATTTTTTGCAAGCCTTCATGACCCCCAATAATACTGTACTGCCTCAGTCCGAACCCGACAAAACGTCGGAAGTTTTGCCTCAAAAAATTAATCTTCAATGTATTCGTTCCAAATTTATCAACATTTTTTATTTAGATTTCTATGTTTGTTGAATTATCGTACACTGTAAGTGTCGTTAGACCCTGTGAAATCCACCTAGTTATTTAAACTATTACCGTTACACGTTACAATAAAACATTATTAGAGTTTTGATCTCCATCAGCTGGCCCCATACATAATGCGATAAGTTGTTGCGTCAAAATTAAAACATTACAATTTTAATTTCATTATGATAAATTAATTCTTCAGAAATGCATAATGAACAACTAAAACTCCAAATGAATATTAATTATACTTTAAAAAATTATAGTAAATGTTCAAAAACGTTTCCGTTTTGGCAAATGTTGAAAATGAAGATAAGCTTAATATGATTGGAATTTATTATACCTGTAACCGCAACTGTGAAAGAGCGTGTCAGATGTATTTATATGAATATCCTGAAAAAAATCAGATCGAAATTTGTTCGAGAAACCTAGAAATAATTATGAGCACGGGATTAAAACTCTAATAATGTTTTATTGTAACATGTGATGGTAATATTTTAAATAACGAGGTGATTTCAAAGGGCCTAATGACACTTAAGACTGTACGATAATTCAGGAAACATAGAAATCTAAAAAAAAAAAAATTATATAAATTTGGAATGAATACATTGAATATGATTTTTTCGAGACATAGCGTCTGAAGCTGATTCGGGCTGAAGCAGTACAGTATTGGAGGTCACGAAGGCTTGCAAAAAATATAATAAAATTTCCAGTCGTATTTAAAAAAAAATTAGTTGATGGTCCTGGAGAGATGAAACGTTACATATGAAAATTGATTAGGACATTCTATGGCAAAAAGTTGCCATAAAAAAGTGTTCTCTTTTCAATATCACCTCAAACAAGGTTGAAATGAAACAAAAACGGATTTCCAAAATTTCATTTTTTTTTCAAATATTTCGAAAACTAATCATGTTAGCTTTGATTTTTTACAGTTGATCCCTTAATTATGTAACTGCCCACATTTAAACTACTTCGTATCTCTTACCGTTTCCGAGATCCCTGTAGTGAGAAGCGAATTTGTAACAGCCTGTATATACTACTGTTGTTAGTTTTGAACTTTTTAATCATCTGATAGATATCACTGGCTACTATCTCTACCAGTGATATCTTTTATGACACTTTTTTAAAAGTTAGGTTTTAAGTGAACGTCCAACGTAAAATTTCATTTTACACAAGAAGGTACCCTTCGTAATTAACTGTCCCAAAGTCAACCATTCCTTTGTGCAATACGTGCAACTTTTTAAGGAATCTAAATCACTTTATTTTCATCGAAGGCCCATTCATCTCCAGGCCCCATGTACAATAAAGGCTTTAGGATAGTGAATTATGTGTGTTTTTCTCAATAAAGTAGGTTTTCAGTCAGCAATTTAACAGGAGTAGAATGTAACATATGTATAATGTTGTATGTATGACAATGTCAATGTAAGTGTTAGAAATCGCATCCAGCGACCTTTAGCAGATGATCAAAAACTAATACAGACATATTTATTACCCACAATGACTTAACTTACCAAATTTCAATGCAATACCTATATTGTGTTTTGGAAAAAAAGGCGAATATTTGATTTTAAAAAAATAAATTTTCACGACCTATAATAAATCAAAATCGATCCATAGTATTGTCATTGTTGCGCTTTGATTCCACCATAATTAGCGTAGTCTTCACACCGCCTCTTGGCAAATTGATGTAAGACCGAATATGCTTGTCGAATCCCGCGCCGGGGGAAGTAGCCTATATATATGGGGCATTCCACGCCAAATCGGACGTCAATAAAAAAAAAATAGTAATTATGGAGGGCCCACGACCGGACCGGTCCTAAAAGTTGTTAAAAGAATAGTAGTTTGAAATAGAAAATTTTCACAAAAATCGAAAGATACACTCACTTTCAAAAATACGATTTAAAATTTTAAACTTAAAAATCTTAATCAAAAACACTTTGAATATTTCTTTTGTATTTTTATCTGTAAAGGCCATCTAAAAACAAATATTTTTATAAAAAAAAGCTTTAATTTGGACCATTATTAAGAAAGTTATGATCAAAAAACCAAAAAAAGAGCGTTTTTTTGAAAATTTTATATCTTTTGAACAAGTAATCAAAAAAATCTGAAAATTTACGAGAAATGTTTTTTTGAGGGGTACTAAAAAATATAAAAAAATTAAGGAAATCGAAAATTTAAATTTTTCGAACCGTCCGATTTGGCGTGGAACGCCCCATATATCTGTACATATGACATTTTCCGAACAGACGGAGCTACTAAAAATAAATTTGGTGCACACTTAGGATGGATCGTCTAACATGAGGCATATATAAAGCCCCCAAACAAACCAGTGACGGAAACGTGAATTATAGCTTCAAGTAATTTAAAAAAAAAGTTGTACTTATGTCTCAGATAAAAATAACTAATTTTAGATACAACTGAAGATTAAATTGAAGTAAATTTTTGAGAACACTAAAAGTTTTATCTAAAAATGCGAATTAGGATTACCTGATACACAGGCGTACTACTTTCTTAAATTAATTAAAGTTATGACAACTTCGTCCCTGGTATAGCTTAAGGTGTATTTTTGTAACTTTAACAGACTGTATCTGGAAAACGAAGCATTTTATATGAAAATCACCATTTATTTTTAAAAGATTTGTCACGTACCCTCGGGTTCGACGTTAAGTCTGATATATGTGAATATTAAATATATACATTTTTAGCTAATTCAATTAAATTAATAGTACCCTCTTGGGAACATTGTTACAATTGTAACAGTAAGATAATATCAAATAATCTACAAAAAAATAAATACAAATTGTTTATGGATTACATATTGCGAAATATAGTTGCTTTGGTATTTGCAATAAGTTATCACAAAATTACTTTTCTTAAAATAATCTCTTTAGGATTTTTTATTTGACTGTGATCAGGAGATACGTCAGTACTACTTAACAAATGTATTTTTATCAACATTGTATATTAACAACCATTTTTCCTTGTATTTGTTAAGAATTTGACATATTTTATATTATGCATATTTTTTTATTAAATTAAACTGCTCTGTAATGAATTTTTCTTGGTTTTTGAACAGTACAACCACTACAACTGATTTAAATACTTTATATTGTTTAAATACTTATTTTAAATTTATAACAAATTATAGCCGAGGAACTGTAAGGGAGAGGTGACATATTATTATCCATTCAGTCGTATTTTTTATTTTAACTTTAATGAATTACAAAATGATTTACTTATTCATTGTTAATATTTTGTTATTTTTTGTTACAGATATACCAGTTACAACAGTTTTTCCTGTGGTGAGTTTTTTGTAAAAAATTATTATTTCATTTTCAATATTCGTACGTTGCATTAAAAATTTCTATTTATTTATTTAAATTGTTTATACTTACACGATTTTTTACCTCAAATTTTAAATTTACTTATTGAAAGCTTTATTTTATAAAATTACTTAGATACAAAAATGAATTTTAAATTTTATGGCTTCGAAACCGCCATCAACTTAATTTAAATTTAATACAATTTTATTTAAGGGAGCAGGATATTTTTGTATTAAATTTTATACAGGGTGATTTTACTTTAAATACAGGAACTACAGGAATAGATTAGTTGCCAAAAAATAAGTAGAGTTTGTTCTATAAACTTTTCCTGGATCCGTGGTATTCGAGATACAGGGTGTAGTTTCCAAAAAAAATATTTTCTCCTATATCTTCATATTACGCCGAAAGATGTGAATGAAATTTCTTAAAGCGTATTCACGTAATTAGAACTTTTATTGATTTATTAACCTCGTGGCATTAACCAGTGGCGTGCTACTGAGGGTGCCGCTCCGTTTTCGCAAGAAAAAATACGCCACTAGCAGTTTTTTGTAGAAGTAATGTTAAATTCAGGTAAAACTATTAAAAAATACCAAGAAACATTTTCATTCATTTAACGTAATAGTACCTGAATTATTTTTCATATTATTCACATTATTTTTCTTGCAGTTTCTGTATTTAAAGTGAAATCACCCTGTATACAGTTCGAATTATTAAGCATATTTGTTATGACTACGTTGTATATAATATTGGAATTTTTTATTAATTAAAGGAAAATTATTTTTTATATGAATTATCCGCATACATATTTCTTAAACAATAAATTAATTTTAAACAAAGTGCATTTCCACAACATAAGCCGTCAAGGATAAGTAGTTTTCTTTAGGAAAATAATGAACACATCTGGCCTTGCTGCCCATCATTAGATACACGACTACAAGTGGTCACGATTATTTTCATTTACCTATGTAATTATATTTTTCTATAAGAATGTATTTATAACAAATAGGTGCAGTTTGTTTTCTTTGCATGGAGGATTGTATTGTTAACATTTTTTTAATTATACTATGGGAATAATTACATTTACTTTTAGTGGTAGACATCTATAAAATATATACACCTAACCATTATGAATCTTCAATACTAAATAAACAATTATCTTGATTGTTAGTTAAAAATCTAACATAGTATTGAATTAACATTGAGATATATCTACATTATTTAAATTTACATAGGTTGTACCATATACTTATATCTACAGGATATAATTTTGAATGGGGACTATATTTATGCCGTGCCTACCTTTCACCTTTAAAAATACATATCATAAATTTGTTTTGTCAAATTACATCGTCAAATATTACTGTTTTTTTTAAATAATTTTAAAACCTCGCTGAAAAGGCTGTGTAACCCGAAACAATCCAGTGCACTAGCTGCCAACCACGAGCAATATCATGCATAGTTTTTTGATGTTACCTCCCATATTACATACACCATCATGCGAACCAATAAACTGAAGACTAAAATAAATGCAATAAAATGAAACCATAACGTATTCGGCCATTATAGATTCGTAGAATTAATGTTGGCCTTTTGTTCTTTGCCCGTCTACCAGTCTATTGGCATATTATATCAGGTATAAAATCAACTTGCATATTCCAATCATGTAAACAATTATCAAGCACGTGCTGCTGCGAACCTATTCAACTATTGGTCGAAACAAATTAAACGGCAATCCCCGCCAAACATGCTTTCATACAAAATCAGGCTGCACATAGTATAATAATTTTCATTTCGTACATACCATTTACAGTTTAATTTTGTCACTTCGACTTATGAAGTGGCTAAGAAACATACTGTAGGTACTGTCCTAAATGTTCACGCTGTGGTTGCTTTAAATTGTTTACTTCGTTTGAATATGTAATCACCGTAGTATAGTTCACTAGGTCAATGTCAGACAAAGGTAATTGACTTTGAGATTCACGAACTAAACACAGTGCATTTAAATAAAATAATAAATACTTTTTATTTCAAAAAATATTTCAAATATATCAGATTAGTAAGTATTTAGAATAATTAAAAGTATCAGTTTACAATTAGTAACATATGCCTATCCACATATCAATATTAGTTAATATTTAATGATTCATGCAAAAAATATAATTTTTTTAAAAACATTAGTTTTCTTAATGTTTCATGCTTTATTCGCATGACAAAATATAAAATAATATGGTGACTTTAAAATAACATGTCGCACATAAACATTGTCACGCCGGTAGTTTCTTGCAATGGTTTAAAAAGGTAACAATGGCAACACAGTACAATTCCGGTCCGCCTATTGTCCAGTGGCGGATAACACGAGTGTTATAGTGACGTTTAAAAAACGAATCGACTCGACTCGAAATTAGACTATTTATTTGATAAAAACAATAATTTCAGTTTATTATTTTATTTTATTTTATTTTTTTTTCATACTTCTTGAATATTTTCTAAATATCTCGTACGTCATAGGTTTAAACCTTTTATCACTATCTCTAACCTTGGCAACTAACTACATGGAAGCCTTCGTGAATAAGGTCCTGGACGTCATTAATGAAATATATCAATTTCACCATAGAGATGAAAGAAAATTGTACATATTTGTACGTTCCAAGATGTCCTTGTCAAGAGAAAACGGGATGGTTACCAAAAAACAGTTCATATAGATACTAGTCTTTCTCGTATTCACAATGATTTCATCTGCAGTAAATGTAATAGTTTTAATATCAAAAAAAGTTGAAGACGGCATCTGTTGAAATTTCGAACACAATTTTTTTTCCAAATTATTAAAATAAACCACTTACATATTGTTCCTTGATCGTTTTATTTGAAGTCAGACAAAGATTAACTCATGATTAAGCGATATATTGTTGTCTTTAAAATAATAAACAAATGATACCTATTGATGGATTGAAAGTTGCAACATTAAATTTCAATCCATCAAAAATAAAAATAGTATTAACCAGTATGTAATATATTATTATGATCCCGACCACTGTCGTCGTTATAATTATTATAATGGTAGTAATGATGGCAACGATAATTACATATAGGTTATAACAATTAATATATCTAAAACATAATAAATATTAGTAATAACTAAGGTATTTATGTGTACTTGAAAATAAAAACAAAATAAATGTGGGTAAAACCTATAAACTACAAATATGGAAAAATAATTTCCAAAACATTCGACAATATTTTAGGTAGGTTCATTTTTTCAAAGCTATCTTTCACCTCAAGCAATATGATAAGTTTAGATGTAAAATTAATAAAGCCCGCGTTTAGTTTGTGAATCTATATATCAGTGACCCCTGACATTGACCTAATTTAGCTGAACTATGCTACGGCCATGAAGTAAATAATTGCATTCAATCACGGCTCGATCATAAAAGTATACAGGATGCGTTTAGGAAAATTGAAACAGGTAATATTGATAAATTATAAAATTCTAAACAAAATACAGTAGTCTATTATTATTCTTATTCAGCCACTTGATCAGATCAACATAAAACAGCAACAAAATTAAGCAGCGATGGATACGTATGAATTTAAAACTTTTCTACCATTCTGCACGTAGTGCGTAGTGTGTAGTGTATCTTTGGATGGGATTGCAGTTCAATTCGTTTCGACCAATAGTTTCGTACAGCACGTGCGTGATCATTGTTTCCGCGATTTACCTTAGTTTATACCTGATAGTGTTATGATAGTCATGATATGTCAACAGGGTGGTAGACAGGCATTAAGCAAATGACCAACGTTGATCGGTGAAACAAGAATGGTCGAAACGCCATCAGATCAGTTTAAAAAAAAAAGTATTAAAAAAAATTACGACGGAACTTGGGAAAACGAGTTTATGATATGTGTTTCTAAAAGTCAAATATAACTTCCGTCTAAATATGACCCCCGTTCAAAGTTAAGTACACCCTGTATGCTATGCAATTAAAATTTTTGAATCCCGAGAGCAAACTTCGTCCGATATAAAAAAAAACTCTTTAGTCCTAAGATATATACGCTATTTTTTGCACTCCGTTGACTGAATTATAATTAATTGTTGATTACTTTTTATGTTGATTGGATATATGTCAGAAACATCAAATCTAGATAACATGTTGTAATACTCTCTGTTAAATTACCTTGATAATTTGGCATTCCAGTTACCATAGTAAATATTGTTTATTCTTCTTATGGGAATTTAAATCCCGGGAAATTAAAAATTTACAAAGTGCAATAAACATTGTACCTAATTTTTAGTTTGTAAATTAGATTAATGAATTCATCGATTTCGTTATCATCACTATAGCTCTCATAGCCTGTCCGTTATTAGGATTTATATTAGTTTGAACTTTCATAACTTTCCTATTTGATTTTTAACTTATTATCCTCTTTATTAAATAGGTAAACGTACACCTGCTAATTTAGTCGACACTGTTGTGTGTGTAAAAAGGTAGGAAAATATACAAGTGTAGCAAAGATGCCATTCGTTTTTGCGCAGTTAGTAATAAATTGAAGAAAATATTAAGTTTCATACGTAAACATGCTACTATAAATCCAGCCGTTTCACTAAATTTTATGCAACAGATAAAGGGCACGGCACTATTTATTTATAAATAAAATGTGCTAAAATTGGATGTAGGTACCGATCTGATAAAATTAAATGCATTGTGCGAAACCTAGATTTGAATGATAACAAAGTGTAAGTTATAGTCCGTACAATATTTTTTTAAATAGAATTCCAAGAACAGAATAAGCCAATAAAGTTCTGTTATCGGAACTACTCTAACAATTTACCGCGGTAGGAACAAATATATAAATATACAGGCTGATTCAAAATTCAGTACAAAAAATTTAGGGGCGTATTTTTGAAGTGAAAATAAGCCTTTTTTTCCTATAAACGTGGGTCCACAAATGCTTTGTTTTCGATATACAGGGTGTTAAAGTTT